AAAAAAAAAAAAAAAAAAAAAAAAAAAATATATATATATATATATATAACTCAGACAAAAATTAAATGTCACACTGTCAAGTTAGGCTGACAGAAACATTGCATAAATTCCCACCTGACTGTTCAAGTCCCACAGCAAATAAAAAAATAAAAAAATCTACACTATGGGTTTATTTCCACATATTAAGTGACATCAGATTTGGGTCATGTTGAAATGTAGTGTGAATGTAGTCAATGTCAAACCGCTGATCTGTTTTCAGTTTACTGAGGTAAATATCTCTGAAGTGTCAGAAGTGTGAGAGTCGTGTGTGTGTGTTTGTGTGAACTCACGGCTCGTATGCGTTTCAGGCACTTCTTTAACCACATGCGGATGGTTTGTTTGGCCACCTCCTCCTCTATAGTGTATTCAAGCTGCTCTCGCGCCAACAGCTCCTCCAGCTGAAGACTCTTCCGGATATCAACTGAGCGGTACGACAGCATGCTGAAACACATACCATCAATGACTTCATATAGGCTGCAGATCAAGGGACCAATATGAACAACACAACAGTGATGGATTGGCCCTTTCAGGTTTTGTTTTTTTTAGACTGGGAAAAATTTGAGTTTTGATAGTAAGTCTTCTATATAGCACATTTGGATTTGTCGTGTTATGTGAACCCTTTCGTTTTTCCCAAAAAATGTGCTGTAATGAATAGGGTTGTGTCGGTGAGGAAATTTTCCCACCGGTTATTCGGCGTGTGACAACACCGGTATCACCGTGGGGGCGGGGCATTCCCTCTTTTCCTCGCTTTCCTTTGCTTTTAAATAGCTTGTAAAAGCGGTGTGCCCATTTTACTTTCACTTTAAAATAGCGGCAATTCGGAGTAAAGTAATTGTTCGTTTTTAGTTAGTTTGAATAAGTGATGTAACCGGTGTTGCGGCTTAACACCGGTATCACCATCAGCACCGTCTATTGCGGCAAGCCTAGTAATGAATAGTAATGGTCCTTTCTAACCTCAGTACATCATGGAAGGTGACATCTCCTCCATTGTGCAGACGCTCCATCTCATAACACATGTGTTTGAAGAGAAGCTTGTCTTTGTCCAGGTCAACTTCCAGACGACCCCTCAGCAGACGGAGCAGAAACTTCACCCGAGAGGTCGGAATCAATCCCTGTTTTCAAAAACCTTAAGTTAATACCTGCTAGATATTATGGCAAAAAGGCTATGTAAGAAAATTCTCATACTATCACTCTGTTGCTAGTGAGCTGCCTACCTAGACAGCATTTTAAAGGATTACAGGCAAGTTCCTTTTATTAAATTCTATGGACACATAATATGTATCCTTAGCAGAGCAGGCAATCTCAGAATGAATTTTGATGAACTATGAATGGTGAAGTAGTCAATAAAAATATTCATTATAAATATTATCATTAAAAAAATGGTCCGTTTTGGGAATTTTTGTATGCACTGTGTATTTTTATGCATATTAGAGTATTGCAGCATGCTAAAAGCCAAATTTTTTATACATTTCAATAAAGAACATTTTCAGCCAAATCAGAAAAAAGTGTTCACACACTGAACACACTTCTCTCTTCTGCTCTCAATAAGGCTGATTCCACCTAATGAAGATGACAGCTCAGCACCTCTCGCTATCTGTGACAGGCAGTAATAACCTCCAATTACTCTGGAGGTGAGAATGTCGATGCGTGTGATTCATTCATTTGCAGCTTCAGAGACGGTGCGGAGAGCACACGCGAGTATTAACTTAAAGTCATCCGCTGATCACAGGCACGTCCCCTCCTCCTCCTCACCTCCCGCTTGTCATCCACCATGTTCCAAATGATCTGGAAGTGACGCAGGTCGTTGTAGCTTAGCAACTGGTCCTCCTCAGTGGAGTAGAACAAAGAGAAATTCTCCACAATGATGGCTGAGGGGGAGATAAAGTGATTATGGTTGGGATAGCTTTCAGTTAGGCTCTCAGTACTTAAGTAAAAGACTCAAAACAGACTCTAAACAAGTGTGCAAATGCAGACATGAATGCTTGGCTGATGCATTGCAAGCAAATGGTCCTGTTGTACATACTTGACATGCGTTCTTGCATTGTTGTGATTGTAATAAACCTCAAGGGGGCAATAGAGTTACCTTCAAATGCCTCTTTTAAATTGTCAGGCTATAACATGTTAACTGTTAATGCTAATGCCCACTGTAGCAGCTCTTGTGGCAGCGCTGGGAATGCAACTAGCTGGGAAAAGCAACACATTGAATGATACATTTCACACCTAAACCTTATTTTATTTGAGCTAGTTTCCATGGCAACATTTCTCACTTTCATTTAGTTTAACTTGATGTACTAAAATAAGTAAAACTAAAACTGAAATAAAAATGAATAAAAACTATAAATAAATATTTAAAAACAATAACATTAAACTAATATACTACTAATACTAATAAACTTATAAAAATGACAAAAACAACAAAATTACTAAAACTTTAAATTAACATAGAAGCAGAAAATATGAATAAAATCTCATTCAAAATATTAATAACTATAATAATATCTCAATGGCACTAAAATAACACTGGTGCAGGTATGATGTTGGTCTAGCTTGTGGATCATATTAGCCATGGAAGTCTTGCTAACATTCAATGTTAATTACACAAACATTTGAGGCCGGTAAGATCTTTAAAATATTTTTGAAGAAAGTCTCATACGCTCACCAAGCTTGCATTTATTTGATCAAAAATAGTAAAAATAGACATATTGTGAAATATTATTACAATTTAAAATAATGTTTTCTATTTTAATATATTTTAAATGTAATGGCAAAGCTGAATTTTCGGCAACCATTACTCCAGTCTTCAGTGACAGGAAAAAGTGCAAAGTTCAAAAGAACAGCATGTATTTTAAATAGATATCTTTTGTAACATTACTGTTAAAAGTCTTTACTGTCACTTCTGATCAATTTAACGCATCCTTGCTATTGATCATTCTCTGTGTCCACAAAGGCTTATAAACCTTCAAACTTCTACTGCATAAAGCTGCTGCATAAATACTGCATCCTCTTTGGTACATCAATTGGAACAAAGCATTCTCAAATCAATTCTGATTGGTGCATCACCCCACTTGCTAATTAAGAAGCCTGTTGGGGGCACCAGCACACCACAACATATGCACAAGTGTGCACATCTATACAGTCCATAAACCAAGAGGAATAGAGACAGAGACTAAACTGGCTTTGGCACAAAGTGATTCAAAGCCTCATTCATATTCAGCAGTGACCAGTGCTGAGCTACGAGAGTGAGTCTTTCACAGGGAGGAACCACTCTGTTCTGGCAAAAAAAAAAAAAGAGATAATAAACATGGAGGGATGTCAGGAAGAAGAATGGGCAGCGATATTGTATTTTATGAGCTGGCTAGCGTCTAAAGCAGGAGGAAATTAGATGCCAACCTGGGAGATGGAACAGGATATTGTGTTGGCAGTCAGGTGAAAAAAGTGCTTACCTACGAGCAGGTTGAGCATGATGTAAGCGATGATGACATAGAAGGAGCAAAAGTAAATGAGGGCGCCAGCATAGTTGCCGCAGTCCGTTTCCCAGTAGCGATGTTTGTCTGGGGTGCAGAATGGCGGCTGCACCTGGGGAACAAGGCCGATAAACAAACATAATCAACACATGGGGCTCACAGCTGATGTGTTTTTGTTTAAATAAATCATTCAGAAGCGTGTCGAATGAAACTAGATGCTGTACAGTTATATTTGCAATTCTATCTGATTCATTTAACTGAATTGTTTACTTTTTTTAAATGATTTTCACAGCGAGCAAGCTTGCTTGCTTGTAGGCAAAATGGGGCTGCCATCCAATCTCTTACCATGCAGTCATGCATGATCTTATTCCAGTCTTCACCTGTGACTATTCGAAACAGTACAGTGATGGCTTTCCCCGCGGTGGAGAAGTTTGCGTGCCTGTTGGCGAGAGAGGAAAAAGTAACAGCTCACGCAGAGTTACTTCCTCTCATGCTGTCAGCTGTACCTGAAAATTGATTCTCCCAAATGCAAGTAGGACATTTGAGCAAGACGTTTAGACAGCACCAATTATATCAGTGCTGTGGGTAGAAGTAAGTGTGTTACAATCTCGCCTCTGGTACGCTGACACAGTTCAATCACTGCCTCCATGTGTCACAAGATGGCTTACCTGTTAATGTTCTCGCCGTATTTGACAGTGCCGAAAAGGACGACACCGGCGAAAGCATAGCACAGCAACAACAAGAACATGCCCACGATAATAAAGAAACTCTTGTACATGCTGACGACCACAGTTAGCAAAAGCATCTTTAACGTCACCTGTAAATACAAGACGGTTCAGTAGTGGAGGAAAATGCACTGTAATAGGGTTTGAAGTGGATATATAATTTTCATGTTATGTCACATATTTTTACAAGCGTAATCATTTATGCATACTTACATGCTTCCCACATATGGTGAAAAACCGGAATACAATCACACATGTGCCCATCATGTATGTGTAAGCATTCTGAAGAAAAAGAAATTCAATTATTTACAGCATAATGCACATTTAAATCAACAAAAACAAAAGTAAAAAACAAAAATGAAAACAATGAATATTAAATTTAAATGATAAAATGTGTACCTTTTGTGAATGTGAAATTCAAACAACAGACTGGCTGCATATTTCATTTAATTTGGTATCAGAGTTCTCTAGAAATAACAATTTGTGGCATAATAACTGAAGATGTACACATCCAGTTTTTATTGCATAATAATATTTTTTTTAATTAATTTTATATTCATTAATATAAGCGCCTTAAAACTAAGACATTATTTTTTGTTTTTCAAAAATAATTCTGCAATTACTTTAAATATTTAAGTTTTACAAAAATAAACAGTGGTAGAACATTTTTTACTTCGTTTTAAAACTGGTGACATAGCTATCAGCTTCATAGTCACCTGCGGCAGAGCAAATTTAATGATGTCATGACCATACAATACTTACGAAAGACCTAATGAACTATGAGGCCTCTGATGAATTTTAAAACTTTTTTTGTGGCTGGAAAGAATTCTTGCTTGGACTGACTCATGAAAGCACAGCAAACAGAATTTGAAATATATACTGTAACATGTTTACCTCCAGAACAAAAATTAAAGTGAAAACCACAGACATTGTGGCCAAAGGAAAAGTAACCGGGTCAACTTCATCCCACTGTAACACACACAAAAATGAATTTGTAATTTTAGTGCAGAAATAAAACAAAAATGTATTCGTTGCTGTAACCCTCCTCACCTTAACAGACAGGAGGACAGACTGTGCTAACACCAGTACTGCAATACCTCGCTTGAAAAAAGGATGTTGGGTAATATCATACATTTTTGCACGGAATCCACCGTTTTCTGTAAATGGAAGAAAAGGAATTTCAGTTTTGAAAGAACAGAAAATGAGGTCTTTTAAGAATGATCCGGTGCTGTGGTTTTAAAACAAAGACCTGGTTAAAATTCCCTGACCTTCATAGTAATCTCTCTGTTCTCTTTTATCATCAATTAAAAGGCTCGCTGAGAGAAAATCGTCTCAACTGTTCATTCAATACACTTGGTAAGAGCTTTTTTTTGGCATTGCTTAGAAATCCGCTACATCATCGTTCTGCTGTCTTTTAGCTAAAGGTCATGAGATCTGAGTGGCATTCATCATACACCGTAATCAAGTTCATTTCAACAGCCACAGAGCGCAGACAGATTATTTGAAGCTGGTTTCAATGGGATTGGAACTGATGTGGTTACTCTGCCGAGTGCTGACTAAGGTATTGATTCTTCTGTTATTCAACAGGACAGACTACGTGTCAGGAAGCACAAAGGAAGCTCCGCCTACTGCCATCCACAGCTCTCTATAGCTATCCCTCATTTTAGTTATTATATGGCATGCACTGAACATTAATGCAGCAAAGTTATTTTAGTATTATTTATACACTATTATCGTTTATTGTTATTATATTATATTAAATATTATTATTTATCAATACTTTATATTTTTTATATTTTAAGTATTTCTTTTAATTTTAAGTTTT